AAATGCCATCCTCTTGTGGAACTTTGATCTCATTTGATTTAAAAGGGGGCAACCCTCTATGGTAAATTGAAATCTTCAACTCCGTCGGTCTTCAAGTTGAAGTCTTCAAATTCGCCGATCTTCAAGTTGAAATATTTAGGTCCGCCAAATCTGCAAAGTTTTCCAAGTGTTCAAGTCAATGTCGTCTTCAAGTTGAAGCTTTATAACTTTCCAATCTTAAGGTGGACATATAAGTCCCTTTGCACCTTAAGTTGGCCTCTTCGTGGGTTTGTCCTTAAAAGGAACTATAACGTTCCAATCTTAAGGTGGACATATAAGTCCATTTGCACCTTAAGTTGGCCTCTTTGTTGATTTGTCTGTCTATATGTTGATGTGGATGTATCCATCTATATGTTGATGCAGATTTGTCCGTCTATATGTTGATGTGGATGTGTCTATCTATATGTTGATGTTGGTGTTTCCGTTTATATGTTGATGTGGATGTGTCCATCTATATGTTGATGCGGATGTGTCCGTCTTTATGATGATGTGGATTTGTCCGTCTATATATTGAGCTGGACGTGTCCGTCTATATGTTGATGTGGATTTGTCCATCTATATGTTAATGCGGATTTGTCCGTCTATATATTGAAGTGGATGTGTCCGTCTATAAGTTGTTATAGATTTATCCGTCTATAAGTTGCTGTAAACTGATCTGTCTATAAGTTGTTGCAAGATCCGCCCGTCTATAAATTGTTGTGGATTTAACCGTCTTTAAGTTTTTACGGATTTATCCTTCGATGGGACGTCATGGAGTTGCTCGTCAACTTAGCACTTGACGACCCTCCTTGTTTGACCTACAAAAAAGGATGACAAAAAAAAGGACGCAAAAGAAAGAAAAAAGAAGTTACCTCGGCACTGTCATACTTCTTCTGATTTAAGAACAATGTAAATCGATGTTCAACGTAGGGAGTGCATGCAGCCTTATATAGCATGGAAGAGATGACTTAAAAGAGTAAAGTCCGATGTGGGATCATCTGTTTTACAATTATTTTCCGTATAGGATTCAGCTACTGCAATGTTTATTCGAAGAAGGAGTCTAATCTCGGCGGCAATACAGGAGTGCTAAAGCAACTCAGATTGTTATTGGGATTAAGGATCTTTCACGTGAAATCTATCTAATCATTACCATAAGAGAGAATTCGTTTCTTACTAGGAAATATAAATGTCATTGGCAGTTGCAATGTATATTAAAATGATAGTTTGCATGGTTGTGCCTTTGTCCTTGCTCAGTTATTACGTTGTTCAAGTAATTGACATGTAACAAATTGCATAGGTGATACTTGCATTCTAATCTGGCATGCGACAAATTTAATAGTCAGCCAATACTTCAAGTCTTGTCGGAGTGTAGATTTGTCGTAACCGAAAATGGGGCTTAGATAAAATGAAGTTAAATCTTCAAACAAGATGAAGTCATTAGCTTAGACGGTGTAATGGTCTTCGCTTCAGACGAAATAAATCTTTGGCCCAGACGGTGTAATGGTCTATGCGCCTTAGATAAAATGAAGTTAAATCTTCAAACAAGATGAAGTCATTAGCTTAGACGTGTAATGGTCTTCGCTTCAGACGAAATAAATCTTTGGCCCAGACGGTGTAATGGTCTATGCCTTAGATAAAATGAAGTTAAATCTTCAAACAAGATGAAGTCAGCTTAGACGGTGTAATAGTCTTCGCTTCAGACAAAATAAATCTTTGGCCCAGATGGTCTATGCCTTAGATAAAATGAAGTTAATTCTTCAAACAAGATGAAGTCATTAGCTTAGACGGTGTAATGGTCTTCGCTTAAGACAAAATAAATTTAGCCCGGACGGTGTAAAGGTCTATGCCTCAGATAAAATGAAGTTAAACAAGATGAAGTCATTAACTCAGACGGTGTAATGGTCTTCGCTTCAGATAATAAATCTTTGGCATAAACGGTGTGATGTTCTTTGCCTAAGATAAAATAAATCTTTGGCTTAGACGGTTAACGGTTAATGACTACTCATCCCCTCACACCCCAAGATTGTCTTCTTCATGCATGGATAATCTTGTTGAACAAGAACATATCTTTCTCGCTTGACCTAAAAAAAAAGGACAACAAAACAAGAAAAGCACAAGAAAAGAAGAAGAAATTACCTTCGCGTTAATGCTTCAAAGTCCACAAAAATAGACTCAAGTGACTTGCAAATACTGCGAATTGATGCTTACAAATACGAGCACATGAGTTTATATAAGCATGGAAGAGACGACTTAAAAGAGTAATTGCCGATGTGGGATCAGCTGCAGTGGCGTGATCTAATTCTTTTGTTCCCAAGTTGAAGTTGGTGAAGGAAGTTGATTCCTGGATGAATTCTAAGTACTACTAGTTGGATGGCGTGAGATAACACTGCCGTGTCCGAATTGAAATTGGTGGAGGAATTTGATTCCTAATCGGACTTGATGATGCGTTGGAACTATGATATTATTTTGCCTTGAAAAGTGAACTTTTATCTATGTATTTTACCATGAAGAGTATTGCGTATGTGTCCCTTTAACATGGAACAAATTAAGGCAAAATATATGATAAAATGGAAGATACATACTGGTATTGGAAAGTTCAGTATAAAAAAATAATATTCCATGCAACTGGTGAAAAAATTTTAAATGCCAAAGATACTGGCGTGACTGTAATGAGTAGAAGGAGACATGTGATTTAAGCTAGTATGTTCATGAGTCAAAAAGCTATGCTCAATGAATTGTGTGATTAGAAGTCCATAAGTTCTGAGATGAATTACGTCCAAATAAATTCGTACTTCAAGTCTGGTCTTCAAAATTTATATACATTGACAAGTCTTGAAGTAGGGGCCATTTGTAGGCATATAAATTTTATTACAATTAAATCCATAAAATAATTTGGACTATATTTTAAATTCAAGATATATTGGTCCAAATACATATGGGCTAATATAATTGAATTAATTATATAAGTTCAATATAAACGGATTAAATAAATAAGTCTTAATCCATTGGGCCAGCGCATTTAATTGGGCTAAAGTGATGAGCCCGCTTCATTAAGCCCAAGATGTCATCTTCCTAGAGGTCCGGTTTGGTGCCATTTGTCAAATGACGTGGCACGCCAAGTCAAACAGAAGAGCCAATAGGATCATGCCATGTGTCAAAATGACAAGTCATGCCCAGTCACACTTAAAGGCCAATGAAATCGTGACATGTTCTGGCCAATCAAATGCGGCCATGTCACCCTTCAATTTGATTGGTCGGAAAGAGTTTGTTCTTATCATGACTCTTCCCTTCCACAACTATAAATAGGGGTCTTCATAACTCAGAAAAGGGACCAGAAGTGATAACAAGAAGCAAGAAAGAGCTCGTGGATCAAACACTACAAATTTCTCCACAAGTTTCAAGCTTCAAGCAATCAAGTTCAAGTTCAAGAACGAAGGACAAATCAAGTTCAAGCTCAAGAACGAAGAACGAATCAAGGTCAAGTTCAAGCAATCAAGCTCAAGCTCAAGAACAAGATCATCGTTCGTGGCAACAAACATAGATTCAAGATCAAGCTCAAAGGCCCTTGAATTTATTTACCATTGGAAAGAAGAATCAGAGGAATCATAGAGATTGTAACACTCATATATTTGAAATAAAATACTAGGATTGTTGCGATATTTTTCGGTCTTGATTTTATTTTCTCGAACCAAATTTATTGTCTACAATACACTTTATAATTTCTATACCCGTAAACTTCCAAACACATAAACGTCCGTATTCATAACTTTGAAACTTGTAAAATTTCGAAAACTGAAAATATATAAAAAAAAATTCTGTCGGGGTGTGGGGGTGGGTGGTGCAAAACAACAAAAACTAGAAATTTGAAAATTCAAAAAAAAAAAAAAAAAACTTTGTGCGCGCGCAGGGGGGTGGGGGAGGGGTGGGAGGGGGGCAAGTGGGGTTTGGGGTGGGGGTGGATGGTGCAGAAAAATAAAAAAAATAGAAATTTGAAAATTACAAAGAAA